GTGGATGCCTTGATTCATGAAACATTCCAATTTGATTTCACCATCAACTATCTTTTAATCCATGTGCGTGTTTAACTGAGGGGTCAATGGCTCAAATAATAGCTGACTGGCCAAAAGTCATTTTTGGGTTTGGCTGATTGAAAATAAGCTGTTGCATTTTTTCTCTTGTGTGTTAAGTAAGCATAAATTATTCATGACACTGCTAGGAGGTGCAGCAAGTTAATAAAGCATGAGAATGGCTCCATTCTAGTTGCTCATATCCATGAAACCTGTCTTGTTGTGGTTGATGGTAGGGCTAGAGAGAATCAAGTGGACTTGATATCAGAAGCAGTGTGATTGACTTAGAACCTTCCAGCTCTATGGCTGTTTTTACTCTGATATATGACATTTCAACTATAATTCTGCTACTATGTTCTGTAGTGTAAAAGGAGAGGTAATTAAACCTTAAACAAAAGTCTTACTGCCAGCCAGTTAAGCATACACACACTCCTTGAGAATATTCAGGCTGTCTTTACTTCTAATCCAATAAAAATTTCCTAACTATGTCAAGGCCACAGGATGATCTTTAGTCTGTTCAGTATGTTTCCAAACTCTCTGCTTGGTACAGGATCTCGGTCCTAGTCTCTTGAGGATACCCTTTCAGCTAACTCCCATCATAAGATTCTCCTTCTTCCCTCCCCCTCATACTGTCTACCTCCCCAACGACCCCCAGATCCTCGACCTTTTTAACCCCTTTTCCTCCTCTTCTAGGTTCTGCTGCTCCTGTGTCTTACCTTCATATGAGTTATAAGTCATCTGGTGTCTTTCTCTGGGACCCATCAGTGGATAGAAAGGGGAGGGGTCAATTCATGTCCTTACTATAGTAAAGGAGAGGTGAGAAGCCCTCAGATGAAGTGTCTGAAAGACAACTGGCCCTTTTTAGCTATGATGGTTAAACCTTAGCCAGCATACCCTGTACAATTCATTTTACCAAGAGTATCTCCTTCCTAGCATTGTGCTGCAGTCTAAGGGTTCACCTAACACCATGGGCTTTGTAAGTAATGGTCTTTGGGGACAAACAGAAGACACAAAAAATCTCCAAGACTCAAGGCTACTGATTCACTCATATCTTGATAAGCTGCATTCAGCAAGAGAGGATGCATTTCCAGGTCAGTACAGAGGGAAGGGTTCTATAGGGGGTAAGAAATAGAAGCAGCTCCTGTCATAATCTCTAGTTTTCTCAACATCCGCTCCCCTGCCATTGCCTTTATAAGCAAAGAGAAAAAGAAAGAAAATTAGACTACAAGGTTCTCAAAGGGTGAAACTGAATCAAAATTGACCTCCCCAGTAAGGATAAAATTTATCAAAAGTTCTTCAAATTCCCAGAACACTGACCCCTCTCATTCATAGTTTCAAAGAGAATGGGCGCTAGAAGCAAGAGAAAATTATACTCACTACAGAAAAAAGTCTTTATTTTTTATTGTCTGAGGGTAATGAGTAAATTCTGGATGAAAAGAATGCTGTGTGAGGAGAAGGAGGCAGACTCTCCATGAGAATAAGGAGAGGTTTCCCCAAGGAAACCTTTAAAATGGTATTTCAAAATAAAGAAAATTTTAGAAATTAGCTGGCCATGATGGCATGTGCCTCTGGTCCCCCAGCTATTTGGGAGACTGAGGCAGAAGGATTGCTTGAGTTCAGGAGGTTGAGGATGCAATAAACCGTGATCTTATCACTGCACTCCAGCCTGAGTGACACAGTGAGACTCCTTCTCAAAAAAAAAAACAAAAAATAAGATAAATGGGATATTATCTATTTATAGACTCTAGATGTAAAAGAACATTAACTGTATTAAGGACGTGTTGGAGTCATATATACAATTCTGAGCTGGCAGAAGTCTTTTTTCTTTCTTTTCAAAAAAAAAAAAAAAGGTAGTCTTGTAATTTTCCTTAAACTACACTTAGGGCCATTTCTAGCTGATATGGTAGATTAAATTGAGGTGGGAACTCTCCCTATCCTTCCAACACTACATTGCAATAGTCTTGAAACCAAGAAAGAGAAATCTTCAGGTGCCAGAAATAATGAACTAAAATTAAAGGTGTGAAAAAAAAAAAGTTGGATCCAAACAGCTCACCAAGTATCATATTAGCTCATAACTTGGGCTGAGATCTTAAAACTCTGAGAAGGGGATTCCAGCCCCAGTTTCCATGTATGCTTGGACCTAGAACCAAGCTACCCGAATAAAACTGGGAGTCACTAAGTGGGCACTCCATTCAGAAATGCCAAATAGAAATACTCTGTCTACTGGTCCAAACAAAAAGGAAGGAATATTTCCATTTGCCTGGGACTCTGTGAATGAAATGAGAGTCATCATAAATATTGGAAACCAAGTTTGCATCTCACATGAGTGAGTAATCTGAATTCACACCCCCTGTAAAATGCAAGCATTCAAGGCCAATAAAAAGTGGTCCTGAGCTGGTGACAACTCATTGGTCCCCTGGTTAAACTTCTGTGTAGAGACAATTCAATAAAAGGATGCCACTATGGCCCAGCTGAGAAAAACGGCTGCCGAGTTCGTACTCAAAACTTACACACTACACCAAAAAGGAGGTATTGATTCAGCAAATGAGAGAATTTGCAATAAAAAAAAAAACCTCTCAATAAGGGAATAGTTTTTGAGAAACTCCCAAATAAACACTTTCAACATGTTCAAAGAGAAAAATCAAAGAATAGAAGAGAACCATAAGGCGAATGAAACAGTGTGAAACAGTATGAAAAACTGTGCTTTGAAATGAGGTGACAGGTTGAATAGTAGGGTTCAACTCAAGAAACAGAACCAGTAGGAAATAACATATTAAGAGCTTCTTTTTAAAGAAACAAGGAATGGGCTTACACAATGTGGGGTCTGGCTAAGCAAGGTTGAAATCCATAGGAAAGAAAGGGAAGATCAGGGTAGGCTGGAACCGATGGGCATGGGCAAAGTGGTTACCCACAGTGGCATTCTCTCCTCTCCTCCTCCCTTCTGGTCCCCCCTTCCCTTCCTCCCTGTCCTCTCACTTTCTCTTTCTCCCGCCCTCCCTCTCTTTCAGAAACCTCAGCTCTGCTTTCAATGATTTTTAAATTTCATATTTCTTCTACCTTAATCACATACTCTCAATATCCATTCCCATGTATATTTTCCAGATTTCTACCTATATAAATGGAAAAAAAATCATAATTCTTTACATTTATATTGCACCTCCTCATGAAAGGTGGATGGAAAAATAATTAACTTCATACTTGGTAAATACGTACTAAAATGTTGGAGCATGCAAGTAAGAGGCCCTGAACTTCAGCCTCATTTGCATTATAGAAAAATCTACCTATCTTAGGGAAAAATAAGATTGTTACAGTGGCATCCTCTTTAGGGGTAGGGGTAAGGAATAATGGATACTTGGAATCAAATTTAAGGAGACATATTTTCCTGTATCTAAGGTAAATCAAAGGTAAGGGCAACCACTAAATGAATATAAAAAGTATGTACAACTTTCAAACCAGAAGAGAGGAAAAAAAAGAGAATGAATTCAGTCCTGTTTAGATAGAAAAGAAGAATGAGTCAACAGGTCATTCACTGATTCATGCATTCACTCACTTAGCAGAGTTTTATTGAGTATCAGTTAGATCCCAGGTACGATGTCCCTGTTCATATTCATAGTAGAATATTCAGTAAATGCCTGTTTCCCTACTCCAGGAATAATTAGAAACAATTTTCTCCTAGTTTGTAAGTCTCTTGGTGTATCTTGTCATCCTTCATCAATTTGACAGTTCTTCTTGTCAAATACACAGTATTTTTCATTGTTAACCTAGTCTATAAACTCATAGGCCATTCTGACTTTCTCCTTCCCAAAACTCTCATTAGTTCCAAGGTTTAATTGTGTAAAATAAAAATGAACCAGAAGGGGCTGGCAAGATGGCTGAATAGGAACAGCTCCAGTCTGCAGCTCCCAGCAAGATCAATGCAGAAGTTGGGTGATTTCTGCATTTCCAACTGAGGTACCCAGCTCATCTCAATGGGACTGCTTGGATGTGGGTGCAGCCCATGGAGGGTGAGCTGAAGCAGGGTGGGGTGTCATCCCACCTGGGAAGCTCAAGGGGTGCGGGAATTCTCTCCCTTACCCAAGGAAAGCGATGAGGGACTGTGCCTGAGGAATGGTGCACTCCAGCCCAGATATTGCACTTTTCCCATGGTCTTTGCAACCTGCAGACCAGGAGATTCCCTCTATGCCACCAGAGCCCTGGGTTTCAGGCACAAAACTGGGTGGCAATTTGGGTAGACACCAAGTTAGCTGCAGGAGGTTTTGTGTTTTTTTTTTTCTTTCCCCATACCCCAGTGGTGCCTGGAATGCCAGCAAGACAGAACCATTCACTCCCATGGAAAGGGGGCTGAAGCCAGGGAGCCAAGTGGTATGGTTTGGCGGGTCCCACCCCCATGGAGCCCAGCAAACTAAGATCCACTGGCTTGAAATTCTCGCTGCCATCAGAGCAGCAATCTGAGGTCAACCTGGGATGCTCAAGCTTGGTGGGGGGAGGGGCATCCACCCTTGCTGAGGCTTGAGGAGGCAGTAAACAAAGCTGCCAGAAGTTCAAACTGGGCAGAGCCCAGTGCAGCTCAGCAAGGCTGCTGAGGCCAGATTGCCTCTCTAGATTCCTCCTCTCTAGGCAGGGGATCTCTGGGAAAAAAGGCAGCAGCCCCAGTCAGAGGCTTACAGATAACACCTCCATCTCCCTAAGACAGAGCACCTTGAGAAAGGGGCAGCTGTGGGCGCAGCTCCAGCCAACGTAAAACGTCCCTGCCTGAAGGCTCTGAAGAGAGCAGCAGATCTCCCAGCACAACACTAGAGCACTGCTAAGGGTCAGACTGCCTCCTCAAGTGGGTCCCTGACCCCCATGTATCCTGAC